ACGAGTATTCATGACTGAGGTGCTTATCTAGCTAAAATTACTTTAGTTATTTATTTTCTATATGTTTTCAGGCTGCTGAAGCAAAATTATGTGAAATACTTCATCTTTATGGTTCTGTTCTTTTCCCCCCTTCTCCAGATATTGACGAGTGCCAGCTGCCAGATATTTACCCATGCCATGGAACCTGCATCAATATGCCTGGGACATACAGATGCTCATCAAAGAAAAGCATCAGGAGCCATCCTGGTACATAATACTACTCGCTTTGAATAAAGGTTCTCCTTCAGTGTTTTGAGAACCTGTCATGTACATCAATACACGAGTTGTTCATCTCTAAATACCACTACTTCTATATTTTTTCACTTTCCAAATTAGTTTTCTCTGATGTAATTGTGATGTTTAAACATGTGATACAACTCAATTTAAGTGCAAAAAAGAAAAGTCTATTTTTTACAAGAATGTAATATGCTTTAGAAGTAAATCAAGTGACTAGTAATACGGCTCTAAGAAACATTTTTTTCTACACATTTAAGTGACTAGAAAATTTTGAAATGGATGTCATCCTGCATGTAGCTTACTGTAATTAATCCTTGACTTCTCGAGTTTATTTTCTGCAGGCTTAATTGCTATAATAGCAACAAGTGCTGGTTTTGGCCTACTATTTTCAATTCTGGGTGTTGCAAACGTCATCAATAAACTCAAGCAAAGAAGGGCAAAACTTCTAAGGCAGAAGTTTTTCAAGAGAAACCATGGATTGCTTCTACAGCAGTTAATCTCTTCAAATAAAGACATAGCTGAAAGGATGAAGATTTTTAGCTTTGAAGAACTAGAGCAAGCAACCAACAAGTTTGACCAGAATCGCATCCTTGGTGGTGGAGGTCATGGCATAGTCTACAAAGGCATCTTATCTGATCAACGTGTTGTTGCCATCAAGAAGTCTAAAATTGTGGTTCAAAGGGAAATTGATCAGTTCATAAATGAGGTTGTTATACTTTCGCAGACTAACCATAGAAATGTGGTGAAGCTCTTTGGTTGTTGTCTTGAGACTGAAGTTCCTTTACTAGTTTATGAGTTCATATCAAATGGAACCCTATCGTACCATCTTCATGGACAATATGAAAACCCTCTAGCATGGAACGATAGACTAAGGATTGCACTGGAAACTGCAAGAGCAATTGCTTATCTACATTGTGCAGCTTCCATATCAGTGTTCCATAGAGATATCAAATCTGCAAACATACTGCTTACCGATACTTTAACAGCAAAAGTGTCAGATTTTGGAGCTTCAAGGTCAATTTCAATAGATGAAACAGGAATACAGACTGCCATCCAAGGAACTCATGGTTACCTGGATCCTGAATATTATTACACTAGTCGACTCACCGAGAAGAGTGATGTCTACAGCTTTGGTGTAATTTTAGCAGAGCTACTAACAAGGGTTAAACCAGTATTCTCTACACATTCATCAGAAGGCAAAAGCCTAGCATCACACTTCGTGTCTATGATAAAAGACTGTTGCTTGCTAGATATTCTAGATCCACAAATTGTTGAAGAGGGAGGGTCCGAAGATGCTGAGGTTATTGCAAGGCTTGCAGAAACATGCTTAAGCTTAAAAGGTGAAGAAAGGCCTACAATGAGACAAGTGGAGATAATTCTCGAAAATATACTAGGATCAAAGGTCCACTCCAGTTCTCGAGTTTCGAGGACAATTCAAATTGTTCTTAAAGATCAGTCACGCAACCAAAGCAAAGGCAACGAAGGAACCAGACTATACAGCTTGGAGAAAGAGTTCATACAATCATCTGAAATTCCAAGATGATTTTCGCTTTTGTGGGTTCACATCTTATTTAGTAATTTTGAGTGTCGTTTTGTAAATTGGGCTAAATTAGAAACTTAGAGATATAGTCTTGCACACCTCCACATTATTATGGTTGATGTAGAACTAATATGCTCCACCAGTAAATAAGTGGATTTGGTTATAGTCTACTGTCTACCTTGTCGGTGTATGGTATTCATTTTGTTATGTAAATCCAGTATCATGTTTGAAGATGTTCATATGGCACAAAGCAAAGCAAAACAGAACGACCCAGTCGCATTTTTTTTCATCTTTCCTTGCACTGTTACGATATCCTACTTGAATGTGTTTGAGTTCTTGAAACCTATAAATTGATGTAGGGCTTAATGCTAATGCTTTAGAATTTTATAAGGTGTACTGTTTTAATTTGTTAGATAGCTAGTCATCACATCGCCTTCTAATCTTCTCTGATAATTTCTCCAAAGAATTCTGTGCGCTGAACTGCCAGTTTTCCTGTTTTAAAAGCCTACTGTGATTTTACTCTCGTTTTTCAACTATGCAATGGTTTTTTCAATCCTCTGTAGAGGGAGTGCTGGAGCGGTTGTTGGCTGACTGCCGTGGTTGATTATTGGTCCATTCAAATCGCAGTACTATACGTCGTGGAAAATCCCTTGACACCATCCAACGATCAGCCCCGTAGCAAAGCAAAGTCCTCTGGTCACCCCTCCTATCAAGCCACCGTCCAAGACCGTGACCTTCCACCAACGTGACATTTGCCTAGTCCTATGACTCGCTAATTGCGTTGAATAGTGGGGTTAGAAAGGGGCGCTTTGGAATTCTAACCATACAGGTGTAAGGTGTTACAGTACGAGTTTGGTTTCTCCGATCTCTAACACACTTACACCTGTTGAAACGTGATATTGCATTGGGCTAACAAAAACCTGATATTTTTTGTTCGGGCTGAGCCACCTAATATTTTCCGTCTGGTCTGAGCCGGAATGGAGCATGACATCATGCAGGGGCAGATCCAGGGGCTGCCCCCTCCTCCCGGGGGCCTCCAAAATTCACAGGATATCTCTAAAGATGAGCATTCGGGCCGCCCGGCCCGACAAGGGGGGCGGGCGGCCGCTGACTGTGGCACGGCATGCCGCCGGGCCATGTGTGCCTGCATGAAGCTTTCATGCTCGGGCGACGGCCCAGGAACGGCACTACGATCCACTTTCCATGCCGGGCCGGCCCTATGAGCACGGCCAATCTAACAGGCTAGGCCGGCCCGAGGCCCACGCCGTTGCGGTTTCCATGGCAATGGCCTCGTCAGCGTCGAGGGAGGAGGCCGGCAGGTCTCATCCGCAGTGCTCCAACGGTGGGGCAGCGGGGAAGATGGTGAGGGGGGCGACGATGGAGCCGGCGAAGGGGACGAGCAGGAGGTGGCGGCGGCGGCGGCCGCGAGACGGGAGGAGAAGGGGCGCGCAGGAGGTGGTGGTGGCGGCGTCTGGGAGACGGGAGACGGGGAGGAAGGGGGCGCAGGAGGTGGCGGCGGCGGCGGCCGCGAGACAAGGAGAAGGGCGTAGCTGCGAGGGGTGGGGAGGAGAAGCGTGCAGCTCCACAGGGAAAAGAACGTCGCGACTCGCGACTGCTTGAGGAGCGGGGAGGAGAAGGGTCACGAGCGCGGCTAGGTGGCGGCGGCTGGAAGGGGAACAAGCAAACAAACAATACAGTAGATAGGAATTAAGGTTCTCTCTCTCTATATATATATAGTGCCGTGATATATAACATGCCTTTATCGGGCAGTGCCGTGCCGCTCGGCGTGCCTGGGTTGCGGCCCAAGCACGGCCCGGGAGAGTCGGGTCGTGCCAGCCCGGACCTGCATAACATCAGGCTGTGTCGTGTTTGGGCCGGGCCAAAAACCATGCTTCGGGCCGTGCCACCGGGCTACGGGCTGCATGCACATCTTTAGATATCTCTAAGCTCCAGCCCCTTGCCCCAGACTCCGCGAGCGCCCGCGCCCGCACCGCACTCGTGAAGAGCCTCCGCCCGTGCACGCCCTCCATGAGCGACCACGCCACCGCGCTCCCACCCGAGCTCGCGACCTCCGCCCTCCGCGTACAGCGTCCGGTATCTGACGTCTGCGGCAGGCCGTCCCGCCTCCACGCTCCCCCTCTGGCCTCCGGCGCCTACGCCAGGCCGCTAGCGCCAAGGGCCCTTCACGGCTTCGCCATCCCCTGCCATTGTTGTTTGGTTTCCACCTCCTAAAGTTTAGTCCTTATCACATCAAATGTTTGGACACTATTTAGAGTATTAAACATAGAGTAATTACAAAACTAATTGTATAGACTGAGACTAATTTGCGAAACGAATCTATTAAGCCTAATTAGTCCATGATTTGACAATATGGTGCTACAGTAAACATGTGCTAATGACGGATTAATTATGCTTAATAGATTCGTCTCGCGGATTAGTCACGACACTTCTGTAATTAGTTTTATGATTATTATCTGAACACCTGATGTGAGATTGTCTCCAACAATCGCGACCCAAAATACAAGACTCATTCGTCCTTTGGGTAGCGCTACAGGCAAAGGGTTCAATTCCTATTTTTGGTTTTCTCCAACAACAAGACCCAAAAGACAACCCTTTCTGCAAATGGGTATCCAGGAGAGAGGATACTTAGATTTAGGTTATATCTCTCCCGGTACCCAAAATGAGTCTTCTATATAGGTACTCTGTTGGATGCTATAGGTATTATGTTGGAGACCCATTTTATGTTTAGATTCCGCAATGAGTATTCCGCTGGAGACAGCCTGACACCCCGTATGATATTCGATGTGACATCTCCTAAACTTTAAACTTTAGTCGTGGATGAAACACACCCATGACTGTTGCTGTGGATCGAAAATCAAGCCCTACACCACCCGTTGCATTAATTGGGTCGGATTTTTGTGTGTGTGGGGTCACACCGGGGCCGGGTCAGTGGCTCATGATCAGGTCTGCTCACATCACAGCACAAAATTGGCAAAAGGTGGTTGTTTTTTTATTAAGTGCTAGAAAATCCAAATGTTATCGTTGTTTAAAAAGGAAGCTATATGACATATGTATCATCCAAAAGATTGAAAATGAGCAGGTCACACAACCTAGCTACATAATCGGTCCATAGCCACATTACTGGCTTCTTCTTTTACGATAGCTGGCACACTTCTCCCTTTATTTATCGGCTACCACTATTTTTTTTTAGGTGCATAAGTACAATATAGAACTCAAAACTGCTAAATAACTCACAAAATGTATATAGGCATAACCATCGTGGAAATTCAGATGATTGCATGAACTCTTTCTCTAAACTGTATTGTCTAGTTCCTTCACCGCCGTTGTTCCCCTTGGCTAACTTATCCTTTAGAGCATTTTGACTTGTTCTCGAGATTCGAGAATTGGAATAGACCTTTGAGCCTTGCATATCTTCAAGTTTTGTCTCCACTTGCCTCATTGTAGGCCTTTCTTCGCCTTTTAAGTTTAAGCATGCTTCTGCGAGCTTTGCAATCACTTTGGCGTCTTTAACTCCTTCCTCTTCAACAATTTGTGGATCTAGAATATCGCACAAGTGATTGTCTCTTATCATTGACACGAAGTGTGATGCTAAGCTTGTTACTTCTGATGAATGAGAAGAGAAGACTAGTGCAATCCTCGTCAGAAGTTCGGCTAAAATAACACCAAAGCTATAAACATCGCTCTTCTCTGTGAGTCGGCTGGTGTAATAGTATTCAGGATCAAGGTAGCCATGAGTTCCTTGGATGCCCGTAAGTATTCCTGTCTCGTCTATAGAGATTGATTTTGAAGCTCCAAAATCTGATACCTTGGCAACTAAGTTATCAATGAGTAGTATATTTGCAGATTTGGTATCTCTATGAAACACAGATATGGAAGCAGCAGAGTGTAGATATGCAATAGCCCTTGCAGTTTCTAATGCAATCCTCAATCTGTCTTTCCATGACAAAAGGTTTTCACTCTGTACGTGAAGATGATACGATAGGGTTCCGTTCGATATGAACTCATAGACTAATAAAAGAACTTCTGTCTCGAGGCAACAACCAAAGAGTTTCACCACATTTCTATGGTTAGTCTGTAAAAGTATGACAACCTCATTTATGAATTGATCAATTTCCCTTTGAACCACAATTTTGGACTTTTTAATTGCAACAACATGTTGATCAGATAAGATGCCTTTGTAGACCGTGCCATGACCTCCACCTCCCAGGATACGATTCTGATCAAATTTGTTTGTTGCTTGCTCTAGTTCTTCCAAGCTAAAAATCTTCAACCTTTCGGCTATATCTTTGTTTGATGAGATTAATTGTTGGAGAAGCAACCCACGGTTTCTCTTGAAAAACTTTTGTCTCAGCTTCTTGGCTCTTCGTTGCTTAAGTTTATCAATGATTTTTGCAATACCAAGAAGTGAAAATAGTAGGCCAAAACCAGCACTTATTGATATTATTGTAATTAATCCTGTAGAAAGAAAATACAAAAGTGTAAAGTGCACTAGATGTGGCACCAATTTCAACTTTCCAAATCACTTAATTCTTCCATAGAAAAAGTTTTCTTGGAATACATTTTAGAGCACAATCATCTCATATTTAATTTGTTCACGAGATAACTAGAGTAACACTAACACATTACATTCTTACACATATTTTTCAACTATTCTTTTTGCCCTTAACTTAATAATCTAGATGTTGTATCAAATAATAATTGGCAATAGCAACAGGGATACCTGATTTTGGAAGTGAAAAATTACTATCATGGTGGTACGGTTGGACTTCTAAGAGCAACCCAGCGTATATTTACCATACACTACTGGAGACTGCCTCTTTGCCGAGGGCCTGAGGCCCTCGGCAAAGGCCCATTAACCCTCGGCAAAGGCTTTGCCGAGGGCGGTCCTCGGCAAAGAGCTCTCGGGAAATTTTGAGTCGGCGAAGAGGGTCTTTGCCGAGGGCCCTTTATCGGGCACTCGGCAAAGCCTTTGCCGAGGGCTGGAGCGGCACTCGGCAAAGAAAAGCAGCCGTCACGGCGCCGGCGCCTGGGACGGAGTCTTTGCCGAGGGCCGTCTCCGGGGGCCCTCGGCAAAGAATTATTCTTTTTTTTTTGAAAAATCTTTGCCGAGGGCCTCCAACCATGGCCCTCGGCAAAGAAATGTTGCATAATTTTTTCAAAAAATCTTTGCCGAGGGCAATGGGACGGCCCTCGGCAAAGAATTATTCTTTTTTTTAAAAAAAAATCTTTGCCGAGGGCTTCCCCGCAGGCCCTCGGCAAAGAAATTTTAATTTTTTTAAAAAAAAGTCTTTGCCAAGGGCCTCCAACCATGGCCCTCGGCAAAGAAATGTTCCAAAATTTTCCCAATGAATCTTTGCCGAGGGCAATGGGACGGCCCTTGGCAAAGGACCCTTCTTTGCCGAGGGACTTAGTCATTGACCTCGACAAAGAGGCTGAAATTTTAAAAAAAAAATGTTTTTTGCATTCCATCGACACAAGCATTTCATATATATATATATATATATATATATATATATATATCAACCATCACATATATATATATATCACACAGAACCCATTTTCTCACAATTAAAGCTACCAACCAACCTCAACGATCTGACTTTAAAAGCCTACAACAAATGCAGTGGGTTATGGCAGAAAATAATATCAAAATTAAACTGGAAGGTATTTGTCATGAGGACTTCGTTTTCTATTGCACAGAAGCCCGACAAGGCCATGCGATTTTGCCACTAAGTGCTTCTCTTCTCTGATTTAAGAGGTACTCATATCACTTGCCAAAACAAATAAAAGATGTGGAACTTTAGTTCATTATAAATTTATAATAGTGACTCAACAAAATATTTATATTGAAGTCTAAAATGGGAGGCACCAAGGCAAGTCAAAATGCATATAAACCAAAATAGTTATATTCAAATCAACTTCATGTTTCCCAGCTCCTTTTCAGTAACTCAAGCTAAGTAGCTAGCAAGTAGCAACACTTTTTGAGTGGATCTGATCTTCGTCATCACGATATGGAATGCAGTGTTCAGACCTTGAGATTGTTTCCCTATAAAGAATTGCAAAGAGGGATTCCTTGAAGGATATATACCAATAAAAGAGCATGGCGCATTTTTTTTCCTACTGCTTTGGCTAACTGTGTTTGATGTTTCAGTCATTCAGACTGCATTGTAATATCACAAGAACTATATTTCTTTTTCTTTTTCCTCACAAAAAAGGAATTGTATTTCTGCTAAAACAAAAACAAAAGACCCTGTAAAGAAGGTACAGATGAAAAAGAAATCATGAACCCAGGAACTTTGCTGCTACAATGCTACTCAAATTGCCAGCTGAAAAAGACATTGGGCATTGTTCTTCCAACATTTTTAGAGTATTATATTTTCCAGCGTATGGGGAACAGTGAAAAAAAAAATGGGCCAATTTTACCTTGGTTGATTTGCGCAGGGTAATTGAGGAAGGGGAGTGAGGCCTTGGTGAGGCCAGGAGCCCATGAGCACGTCCGAGAGCCGGGTTCACCATATGCTTCACGAAAACCCCTGCACAAACGTAAAGTACCAGCTGAGCGCCTGAGCTGCAGGCACACGGCGAAACAATTCAGAAACGCATAGCAGCAAGTGATCACTTGCACTTCTTGCAGGTGGTACAGATGGAGGCATGCATGCATTGTAGTGCAGTCACAAGGTCACCTGAACTGAAGCCTCCTGTACATGTACTCCTGGAGCAAGACAAGAGCATGAATTAGCTAGCCACCAAAGATGATAATGTAACTGGGAGAATAATCGTGAGCTGAAAAAGTTTCACTGTCAAGAAAATTTATGCAGGAAGCGAAATTAAAGCATGGGGAAATTCTTCCAGGCAATTCAGAAAACCACGCTGACCAAGCAAGCATATAAAAGTCCATGACAACGGAAGCAAAAGGAGGGAAGAAAAAAATGGTGTATCTATGAGTTAAATCAACTTGAGAATATCTAGACATGTGGATCACAAGATCAGTAAGCTAAGGTTGCCTTAATCTCAGTTCAATATCCCTTCAAAAAAAGGATAATAAGTTTATTATGTCCCTGGAACTAAATCATTGACCTAAAAAAGAATGAAAGCATGAATCGGTTCTTTAGCAAAAAACACAACCACAAGATGCAAGCAACCACAGGCAACCTCTACTGAAAAAATCACTACAATAGAGAGAAGATTTCAAATTTGAGCTAATTATCATACAGAGTACAGGACCATCCTGCTTGTTGCATATTAGAAAAGGGAATGGACAGGATCTATTTACCTGTATACCATTGCACACACTGGTTGCAGTACCCTAATTATTAGATAACCATGTACCCTTTTAACACCAATTAAAACATTTTCAATAATGATTCTCTTTCTGTATAGCAAACCATCTTTAAATGATTCTTAAATTATCCTAAATTATTCCTTATGCACACATAAAATTATTCTCATCTATTAAGCGCTCTTTTTATTTTGCAACTCCAGCAACTCCAAGGCACTAAACTGGTAGGCGCTAAGCTATATGGATTACAAGAGTCAAAATACATGTAAAAAAATAGATCATCTGAGCCGTTTCAACAAACACGTTGTGTGCAAGTGGGTCATACCATTGTCACTAATCAGATCCTCTTTATCAACAGCTCCATCACCAGTCTCAACTCCAAATACAAAATGTGATTTGGAACTGAAAGAAGCTTATTTATATGCAGAAAAAGAATCTCTACAGCAAACTGAAATAAATCAATATATCACTGCAGTTACGATGTGATTTCTAACCAAGCATAAACCTCAATTATTTTGACAGCTCTGAATTTATAACTACAATCAGAATTTATATCAACAAAATGGAAACTTGAAGATACCACCCTAACTTGAAATGAATATGCTTGATGAAGTGGCACAAATAAGTAATCTGAAGCAAGACTGGCTAGGCAAGTCAAGGTCAGCAAAGACTCCAAACATGCCCTGTATCACCAGCCATGTAAACACGTCAACCCCTCCTATCTTCTGTCCTCACCATCTGGAAAATTATGCACCTCATGTGAGTTAAGAATTTCCTACTGTTTACAACAGTGTGCAGGGGAAAGGATATTTATGCTAGTGTCTTGTATATGGTGGAAAATTCTCAGACAACAAACTGCATCCTGATAAAAAATAGAACAAAAGTACAGAACACTTTCTAATATGTCAATTGTAGACTGAGTCAAAATTTGCAAGCAATTTTATTGAATTAAAGAGCTACTTTGCTAGCTGTCTAGGCTACTGAATGATAATTCATTGTCGGTATATCTCAACACGGATATCCACATACTCATCGATCATCTTGGCCTCCCCATTGCCCTCTTATCTGAAATGTCAGTCTCCTGAAATAGGCAACAAAAACAGGATCAATGAATCTTCAGATAAGTAGCAATCATTCCTTTTTCCGAACTGAAAGATGATCAATGATACATACCTTAAGCCCTTTTTATGACCATACAATTTTGTATGCACATGTGTGACAAATCTAAGTAGAAGCAGACCCAATGCATCCAGTACCAATGTATTTTTGAAGAAACGAACCAACTGGAAGGAAAACAATGTACTATACTTCACGTTGGCAGTTTGGCAATAGGTGGACAGTTTGGTCAGGAACACCTACAGCTGAAGTGCATACTAACATCTATGGAAGCTAATTTTTTTTAATCTTCAAAAACAAACATGCATACTAACATCTAACGAAACTACTCAAAGTCCCGTTTATGAGGAATTGACTAAAAAGCTAAATCCAGTGCAAGGCACGAACTGAATGTATACCTTGTCATCCACGTAGCCGCCGCTGCTATTGCCGGCGAGTGTCTCCAGGCGGGAGCTGGGCACCGCCACCGCGGGCGAGCTCGGCGCTGGGCGGACGTGACCTGCAGCACAGGCAGCTAGGGCTTACTGTAGCACGTGAGCAGCTACGGAGCAGAGGGACGGAGAGTGAGGAGGGAGCGCCAGAGGGCAGCCACGCCGGCGGCCACCGGCGAGGCCCGCTCGCGCGGCGCCGTGGCCAGGGATGAGCACCACCGGGGCCCATGGGCGGGGCCGCGCCGCAGCCTGGGGACGCCGTCGTGCGCCGCTAGCGCCTGGCGCCGTGAGGGCACGCCGCGACACGAGGGGGAGATCGAGGAGGAGGAGGAGGACGGCCGCAGCGGGGCTCGCCGGCGGCGGCGATTCACCGGCGAGGGAGCGGCAGCGGCTGGGGTGGGCGCGGCGGCGGCTGGGGTGGGCGCGGGGGAGCGGGCGTGGATGGGGGCGTGAGGGTTGGGCCGCGTGGGGTTGGGCCGGTGGCCTTTTATGGCAAATTTTTATTAATCAACTTTACCGAGTGCTCCCTTGGCCGGCACTCGGCAAAGGCCACTTTGCCGAGTGTCCTCTATGGCACTCGGCAAAATATATATTTTTTTTTATTTTGGGTCCAAATTTTTTTCTGGGGCCTTGTGACAGTATTTCAAACTCTATTTTAAAATTTGGGGTAATTTTGACTTTTTTTGATATATTTCATTAGTTTATTTCGTTTCGTCGAATTTATTGGGATATTTCAAATTTGAACTGCAGGTACATGGAATAATAGACTTTGGTCATCGAAAAATTGATACTCATGATATTTAGGGTATATTTAGGCCGTATCCAGGAACTCACATGAAATCTCGAGCATCTCGTTGACGTAACACGTCGAGGTACTTGCCGAAAATATGATTTTAAATTATATAAAATGCAAACGAAGTCCGAAAATCACGAAACTTGTCGAGGCGTCGTGTTATCGCATGTGGAGGCTGTGGTAAAAATTTGAGAAGGTTTCAAGTAAGTTGTGACATCAGATGTCAAAAACTCAGACATCTCCACATGTAATCACATGCGATCACATATGGAGATGTCTGGGTTTTAGGCATCTGACGTCACAACTTGCTCGAAATCTTCTCAAATTTTTACCACAGCCTACACATGCGATAACATGACACCTCGACAAGTTTCATGATTTTTGGACTTCGTATGGATTTTATATAATTTAAAAACACTTTTCCGACAAGTTCCTCGTCATGTTACGTGAAGAAGATGCCCGAAATTTGATGCGAGTTCGTGGATAGGGACTCAACATACACCAAATACCATGAATAACATTTCGAATCACTAAATTGCATTATTCCATCCACTGCGATTCAAATTTGAAATAAAAAAAAAATCAACGAAAAGAAATAAATTAGGAAATATATCAAAAAAGTCAAAATTGACCCAAATTTTAAAATTGAGTTTTAAATAATGTATTATAGCACCACAAAAAAACTGAGTTCAAAAAACCCAAAAAAAATCTTTGCCGAGGGCCTCACCAATGGCCCTCGGCGAAAAATATTTAAATAAAAAATAAAAAATCTTTGCCGAGGGCCTAGGCTGGCCCTCGGCAAAGGGGGTCTTTGCCGAGGGCCTGGCCAATGGCCCTCGGCAAAGAATATTTAAAAAAATAAAAAATCTTTGCCGAGTGCCTGACGGCGGGCACTCGGCAAAGACTGACGCCCCTCGGCAAAGATTTATTTTGCCGAGGGCCGTTTCTTTGCCGAGGGCCTAGCTTTGCCGAGGGCTCCTGGGGCTGGCCCTCGGCAAAGACCCCCTTTATCGAGTGCCCGAGATCTAGCCCTCGGCAAACCCAGAAGCCCTCGACAAAGAGGCCGTCTCCGGTAGTGATAGACCTTTTCAGCAAATAAATAATCTCTCTATCCGCAGACTGTCCAGCCAGTCAAGCTCCACAAAATAAGAAGCAAGGTGGTGAGAAATATTTTTTTTTATTCTTTGCACCAGGTACAAGCCTCAACGACCGGACAACCGGTGCTTTCATTTCTTAGGCCCCTTTGCTAGGGATCCAGGGGCTCCGGCTCCTACACTGTTGCTCTACTGTAAGAGAAGGACTAGCTTTACCGGCTCTGTGAGAGGAGAGAGTAGAAGAGCTTATGTAGATAGTGTGTAAACAGTACACAAATATTGTGCGTGTCGAAAAGCTGGAGTCAGTATGATCTCTATCAAAGAGGCCCTTAATTAGTACTACGGTAGTACTACTACCCATTCCAGCCTATTGCACCCTCTCTAGCATTTTCTTTCCCTTGCTAGTACCCTAACAATGCAGCATTGCAACTGTTCTAAGTACATAACATATTATGATCATAATAAGTTCGTAACATTGAGGAAAAACCTTCATTTCAAGCAAATATAATGAAAGGCTACTGCAGAGTTCAGTTAACCTCGATTTCTATAAAGTTCATTTCAAACTCGGCCTATATGCTACTCTTGGTCTCTTCTCTATAAAAATGATTGTGTTCGTGAAAAAAACTAGGAAGTCGTGTTTAATTTGTACCTCGAAGGTTCCTGATACTTTTCTTTGTTGAACACCGGTATGTCCCTGGCAAATTGACGCAAGTTCCATTACAAGGGTACAGATCCGGTTGTTGGCACTCGTCGATATCTGAAAAGTTTGTTTTAGAAAAACAAATAGGCCGGGTTAAAAGGATATAAAAAGAAAATGACCTCTAATAAGAGCCAAAAAAGTGACACTCTTTGTACTTGTTCTGAGGATCAAAGTAAAGAAACACATGTGAAAGTGATACCTTGACATCCATCACTAAGGTAGGGATTGCCCTCGTGCCCTTGCGAACAGTTGCATCGCCTCCCATCGTAATTCCCACCAGCAGAATAGGAGAAACTGTTTGGGCTTGGGCATCCCTTGTTGCCGGTTAAATTATCCAATGCCCACTCCAAAACCATTGCTTATCATCTCGCTCTCTCTTCTGCTGAACCACTCCTAATCAACTATGAACACGGTCTTGTTTGTTCCATAGAGAGGAGAGACATTTTGTTCCCCGAGCATATGTCAGACCTGGATACCGTACGAGGCGAGGGCCCCGCCGGCGAGTGGCGTGATGCGGCAGCAGCCAAGCCCCGAGCACGAGGAGCCATTGCGCGTCTCCGGGCACATGGCGGCGCACACGCTGGCCTCGCTGAGCGGGCCAAACGCGCTGTAGGGGATGAGCTGCGCCACCACGTTGCAGCCGAAGGCCACGAAGGAGTTGCGCGCGCTAGACACGACACCCTGAAGGGCCCTGTCGCATCTGGGACGGACCATGAGGTGTAGACCACGAGAGAGACCAGCCGTAGAACATGGCTGCTGACGCGCACCGTGCCGTCCGGCAAGGAGATGTCCAGCACCTCCATGCCTAAGAACAGCTTTGGCGGATGCGGCGTCTTGTCGCAGGTGAGGTTGAAGCCGTCATGGAAGCAGCTTTGGCCGATCCCGAACGGATACGGCACCCGTACGTCGCCACAGCTTTCCGGGCAACCAGGCAGGGATATCCAGCCTGCTAGCGCTGACGACAGGATCTGAAACGTCAGCCTGTTCGCTTGCTCGTAAACGATCGTAAATTTTCAGTCAGGAACAGTGTTTTTCTCTCACACCAAACCAGCCAGCAGTAAATAATCCACGATACGATACGGCCTCCCAAACAGGCTGCAAGTCGATCGCAGCTCGCCGAGATGAGACGGGAGGGATCGTCATCTTTCGAGAAATCTCCCTCTGCTTGCGATGGAATGCTGCTTGAGGATGTCA